AAAAAAAGATTGTTAATATTTTATATTATAAAGATGATTTCGAGTTTTTTTTTTTTTTTTTTTTTTTTTTTAACAGGAGGGCATCACGAGAAAAAGTAATTGTACATATATTTCGGGACAATTTTCGCATCAGAAAAAAGGTTCCAACATCAAATAATATCTATAGTTTCGTTGGAATAAAAACTTATTAATTTTACTAAGGATTCCTGATACTAGAAAAATCCAAATAAATTACTACTTTTTTCTGGTTCCTGTCTTTTCATGAAATAAAACGTTTTTGGGATGGCGGATTTTTCTTTTTTTTATTTTTTTATCTGAATCCTTAGCAAATAATAATTTTTCAGTATAAAAAACCTTAATAGTAATTAAGGAATCCTTCGTTCCTTAGAATACTATTTTATGAATGCCAAATTTTGAAGAATGCCACTCAACATTATAATACTTTTTGAATTGATTGTTGAAAAATAGAAAATAAATAAAAATTAAACGAACTTTATATGAAGTCCATAGATATATTGTCCCTCTCATGATGATACTAAGTTCACGTTCCTAACGTTTTAATTTATAGAAATTATATATTTATCAAAATTTTAAAAATTAAAATTACTTTTTAATATTTTTCCTCTATAGCATTCAACTTTACTAAAATCATAGTTACTAAAATAAAACAAATTATTATATCAAGACGAGAACGAGGTACTAAACTCTTTTACATAATTTAAAATACTAAACTCTTTAACATCAGTTTTTTTTTTTGTTATCTCATAACTATTTTTATAACTTAACCTTAAAGAAGCTGTTAAAATTATAGTTATATAATACTAAATTTATTTTACAGTGAATATTAAAGTTATATTTACTGTGAAAATATACTTATACAACCAGGACAGTTAAAAAAATATTATATATATTTTAGGTTCCGATGAATGTTTACGCTTATGGTTAGCTTATCAATAAAAGTAACACTGTTACTCTATTTAAATATTGAATATTTGTTTACAATTACTTTATTATTACACGTTGTATCTAATCTCGTTCTAATATAATTATAATTTCTTATAATGATCACTGCTACAATCAAGGGTAGTGTGTTAAATAATAAAATTAATAATACATTAGTAATTCAATTGGCGTATGGAGTTGGCAGTTACATAATGAAAGTGTGAAGATAGTCCATAAGAATAGAAAAAAATCGTTCTTTATGAAATTTTAATATTTAGGAATTAAATTCACAACTTTAAAGAAACAATAATCTTTAGTGATTGAATAACGGAAAAACATTATATTCAAGAGCCTTGAAAATATATTCAAAATTACTATTATTAATAAAACATAAAATATGCAAAACAGTAGCTTATCATTATATAAACAGACAAACACAAAACGGTTCATCCCCTTTTTCTCCTCCATTATTTAACCGATTTTCTTCCTTCTTTTTTTGTTTAAGAGCTATTGATGAGCTATAGTGTTATCAATCAATACAAATATGAAATAGTTTGTAAATAAATATATAAATGGTAGATTGCTCAAAACAGCTTATCTCCGAACGTTCATCACCGATTTCTTTGAAATTTTGACAAAACGTCGCATTAATATTTAGAAGTGTTGTTGTTTACGTTACATTATCATCAAGCCATTCCTTTCGAAATGGCGGCCGAAAAACGTTATTCGTTTTAGACTGTAGCGCAAATATGGGTTTAACGATTTAAAGAAATTTGGCTAAAGTCTTCTCCTTGAAACATTTAGAATTTATGTATATAACATACTTTTCCGAAAACAAGCAGCATGAACATTTATGATGAATTCAGTATTTTATTTGCGAATAACTCAAAAAGTACCCAGTTTTTTATTGATAACACTATTTATATTTATTTGAAGTACATACCTTGTCAATTATATCTAAATATAAAAGGTAATAATATTTGTTTGAAAGCTTCCTGAATTCCCTACAAAATAAAAAGCAAAAATCATCGAAAACGGACTTAGTTGCAGATATATATCATTTTAAACATTTAGTACTTTTTCTTTTGCAAATTCGGTTTCCTTTATTTTGGTTTTTGATAAATCGAAAACTTTACGTTTACTGAGATAATTGGGACTATTATTTGAAGAGATTATATCATCGAATGTTAGTGGAATGTTACCTCATAAATTAAATTTGAAAATAAATTTTATAGTTATACTCATCCTTAACTTAAATACTGCACAAGCATGAGTTAATGCAACACGAATGAGAGTGAAGTACTGACGGAAGCTATTTTAAATAAAAGAATTTTTATTTCAATAATTAATTAAATATTTTCTGACTCAATTCTTCCATTCGAATTTCAAAGAACAGCGTTCTTGTTAATTGGTGCATTTGCCATGACCATAATCAAATCGCAGGTTCAAAGTTTTGGAAAAATTCGTGTATTATTGTGACGTCCAGTAATTTCGCATGGACAATTATATGTGGCAGCAAGTAGAGCACGTTCATTTCAAATATTGAAGTTTATATTTCCAATGGCAATGGGCAAGACTAAGTACTAGAGAGAGAAACACTTTATTTTCATAAAATATAAAATATAAAGGATTGCTGCCCAATTACATTGGGTTGCTATACACACAGCATACTCTTCTATCCTTAAGACAATATATGAACTTATATATAAATATACAGAAGTATTAGTTAATATTAGTAAAACAGAAATATATATATATATATACATTTTTATTATTTTATTTATCCTTATAATTTTTTTTTTTTTTTTTCCTTTTTCCCTCTTCTCATTGTTCATGCTTTTTTTTTTTTTTTTTTTTTTTTTTTATTTAACATTAAGTTTCCCTTTCTCTCACTTCTCTCTCTTTATCGCTATTGTTTTCAATTATTCACTAAAAAAATAAATAAACAAATACATAAATTAAAACTCTCGGGCTAGCCATGCACGTGGTGGTGAATGATTCCCAGGGAGTCGAGGACTATATTTTCAGCCAACCTCGCTACGTCCTTAATGTCGACACCTAGTTCCTCGAGGAAGCTCCTTGTTCTTTTTGGGATAGTTCCGCGAGACCCAAACCAGAGGCCTCTCACGGTGAACTCTCTCTCTCCGAAGGTCTCACGGAATTTCTCTTTTAGGAAAGGGATACATTTATCGTACGTGTTCTTCTTTTCCCTTTCCACTTCACCCGCCTGATCGAGGTCATTGCTCTCAAAGCGGACAGTTGGATCCAAGATCAGCGCTGTCCTTCCTGTCTTGGGAAATGCGACGATATCAGCGTATCTCGTAGAGCCCTCACTATCGATGCAATATACCTCGTCAAAGCAGGTGAATTTTTTTTCCCTAAGGAGCCTCATCAATTCGAACTTGACCCGGTGGTGACGACGTGTTATGAGGAGGGAGTTGTTGGGGCATTTTCCCAGCACATAACAGAACATTCAAAAAGAACATTGTTTACAGAGAATTTCTGCATAAAAATGGACTTAAACGCTTAATCATAACATTAGTTTATTGTGATAATAACACACATAAATTAAAAATTTTGAATGAGTCTATTTTGTTTTACTTATAAATAATTGTAAGTAGTTTAAGCTCGATTTTTAATTGAAATTGCAATTTTATTTATATTAATAAATGAGGATTTTTGAATAATGATTTACTCTTAATTTATTTAATTATGTTTTCCTCAAATTTTTAATGGCTATGGTCGAATTTCGACCTCTACGCGAACAGTAGTTTTATTAAATAAGTGTAATTGTAATTTTAAATTAGGAATTTCCTTTGAACAAGGAGTACGCTGATCTTTCTGTTCCAGTTTAGTATTAAAAATAAAGTATAATCTTAAGAATATAAAGCAGCTTTTCCACTAATAATATGCTTGGATACATACACAATATTGCGAAATAAATAAATAAAATAAATGGAAAATAATGATTAATAGTTCCAATCGTCTCCAATTAAGAATGGATTTTAATCAAAGAAATAAAGACGTGGTAAATAGACAATTATTACTTCTCCATAGTTCAATTTGGAGAAAAACAACGAATTCGTTGATGATGAGATTTAATTTTTTTTTTAACTTAGTCTCGTCTAAAAAGACAATTAAGAAGAAAAAAAAATCTTTTCGGTCAGTAATCATAGTTCCTAATAAGTTTAAAGCAATAAAACAGTATTTTTATGCAACAACACTCTGTATAATTATACGTAATAGTTTTATTGCCTGTTTTTATTCCAGTTAGCAAGTTGAAAATAACACGAAAAAAATTAATCTCCAGTACTAATATTTAACAGAAATATTCAATAAAAAAATATCCTCAAAACCGTATTAATTTTATCGGTTATGTTTTTTATTCCAGTTAGCAAGTTAAAAATATCACGAAATAAATTAATCCCCACCACTAATATTTGACAGAAATGTTACTAATAAAAAAATCTTCAAAACCGTAATAATTTTATCGAACAAAGCAACAAGATATACATGTATATTTTGCATGTACTTTTATTGTAATAGTTGAAAAATAAAATAGAAGAAAAGAAAAAAAAAAATTGTTATCGGTTTTGTTTTTTACCCCAATTTTACAAGTTAAATACTGTTCTGCAAAAACTGTAAACAAATAGAAAATCTGTTCAAGTTATTTAAAGCAAGCAGTATCATCTTTATATTAAAAAGAACTGTTAGAAAAAAAAAATTAAACCTCTCAAAATTTTAAATTGAGGATTTATATGTAAAATACAAAATAGATGTTTTATAATATTTAACTTTAACTTATTGACACTATGGTATTGCTGTAAACGCAAACTACATAAAATTACAGTTGTTTACAATATATATATATGAGTTGAAAATCAGAGTTTTGTTATTGTTTTTTATTTAGACAAAAAACAAATGTAATTTTCTTTTATACATACATATATATATATATATATATATATATATATATATATATATATATATATATTTATATAAAACCGATATGTTTGTTTAACAACTGATTTTAATTATGATAACCCCACTTTTCCGGTACTTATGTTAATCACAGTTTTCAGGCCGACGCCACGTGAGCACTTAGTTGTCTGGCTGATATCAGAACTGTGCGTATTTATAGAATATAGATTTATAGGAAATGTAAGCTTTTTTTGTCAATTTATTTTAGTACGTACTTAGTTGTATTTATCTTGATGTGCTTCTGATTTTCTAGCCGTTAAAAAAAAAAAAAAAAAAATTGTTTTACAAAATAATGTTTGCATTAATTTCATTTGTTATAAATTTTATTTTAATTATTATTAACATTGTCATAAACTGCACGTATTTTTAATAAATTTACATTGTCACGAGGCTCACGAAATTATAGATCGGTAAAACTATTTATTAATGTTAAGTTTTATGGCGGAATTATGTCATTTAAGAGTTATATATAATGAATATAATAACAATTTTTCAATTCTCAATTGAAGGACTGAAGCGATATTCTAATTTCATTGTAAGTTCGAATTATTTTATAAACATCATTTGAGACATGTAAATTTAGTGAAAGAGAATACGGTATTTCTTTCGGACTTGATGAAATTACGTTGGTGCCATATATAAATAGTCATTATTTGATGTATAAACTCTTTCTGCTTCACTAATTATATCTTTATTATTATAATTTATATTGGTAACGCAATGGTTATTAAAAATTATTTATAAAATTTTGTTAATAATTTTTAATCAAGCCCATAGGTGGGGAACCTGTAACCCCTAGGCCGCATGTGGCATACGTGACGGTCTCCAAATGTTTTTACGCGATATGTATTAATCTAGTGCTAGAATTAATTGATATTTAATTATTTAAGATCGGAAAATTTTAAAAATGATAGAATTAAGTTGAATATAATGTATACGGATTTGTGCATTCAGTGATAAATTGAAGTAAATTATAATGGAATTGTTGCGGCCTCCTTATCACTGACTAACCTTACTGCGGCCAATAATAATAAATTAAGTTCCTCACCTATGGTCTAGTCTATATTTATTTATTTAAAAGAACAGTGTTTTACATTTAATGTATTAATATTAAGGCATTTTAACCTGATAAATCCAAATTGAGATGATAAATCTTAAAGCCAAATTATTTGTATTTTCGCTATTATTGATCTGATAAAGATTTTTTAAAATCGGGACTAGAAAGTTAATATATTTAATTAAATCGATTAGGTTCAAAGTGATTATATGAAATGTTTCATTCAATATTATAATATTTGAGTTATTAAAATTAATCATAATATTTGTTTCCAATTTTTCTTCGCATACCTATAGTATGTAAAGATAAAATTTCATCAAAATCGTCATCGATTTTTTAAATTTCTTGCCCATTAATTCAGTAATAAAAAAGTTATTATTGATCTAAATTGATTAATCATTCATTCATCATGATAATTTATCCGTTCTGATGGTAGTAAGATCCCGAGAAATCGTCATGTAATATAAGGCTTTCATAATGGAAGCATTGCATATAGGAAGCCTTATTGCATGGTTTTGTGATAAATTTCTACAGAATTTGTAATAGTTAAATAATTAATAGTTAAAATAAAAAAAAAAAAACAGAACTGGTTAAAACATAACTAGATAAATATATTTTTATTTCATATGAAATTACTTTGAATATATTTATTTTGCTTTAGTAGTATTTAAGATATTAACAAATTAAAATTAAGTCCGGATTTTCAGTGAACTATTATAATGTTAAAACGGCTAAGTGCTGAACAAATATATGCCTTCGTGAACAAATAGGTAAGTCAAATAACAAATGTAAGTCATAAATCAATCAAAAGGGGTAAAAATGTACCCATTAAATAATTTAAAAATTATTTAGAATCTTATTTATATAGACTGTTTATTTTTTTTTTAATATCTTATGTTGAAAATTTGTTCGTTTTAATATATACATATATTATTTAAAAATTATATTCATGGTACTAGAGGAGAAAATATAGTTTTATTTGCTTCGTATTAATATATATTTTCAAAAAGTAGAATCATCAAAATTTTATTATTTATTTTTATTCGAATTAACATTAGAAAAGTAAAACCAGTCTGGAAATAGGGGATGATCGTGATGATTTCACATTAAACCATCTTTCTGAAGTAGTGTTGCCCAAATGCGAAAAAGAGACGAGTCTTGGTCTTGCAAACTCAGTCTTGGTCATGGTCTTGGTCTTGCGCAAGAGTTTCGCAACAGCCTTGCAGTTACATATTAGCTTATTACTATAATTTTTTAGATAGTAGAAACCTAACTAAGCCTGTTTAAAAAAACAGAGGAGTTAAATGCAAAAATATATCGGTAATGTATCGTAATACCGATTTTGGGCAACACTATTCTGAAGATGTATACTATACGTAATTGTCGATAGTATTGTTCCCAGAACACTCCAAATTTTCATTAATCCCTTCAATTGGATGTCAAACGGTAAAGGAGGTGAAAAAAAGTTTTGAAAGGCATTTTATTTTGTTACTGTATAATTTATAAAAAAAAAAGAAAAAATATATAAAAACTTAATCGCTTATGGCAGTGCACCCACTTGCACACCTAGTCAAAGAACTATGTTTGATGGTGGGTGCACTGTTATAAGCGAGTAAGTTTTTTATATATTTTTCTTTTTGTTTTTAAGGTTATTATGGTTTTATAAATGGACTAATGTCTAATAGTATATCTTCTGAAAGATTTTTGTATATGTTTTTTTTCCAATGAAAATTTAAATTATATGTAAAATCAGATTAACCCTGAAGATGCCTGAAGAGGCGGACATTGGCATAAATTTGAAATGAAAAAATAATTTATCGCAACTGAAAAGGCCTTTTTCACTTGATATAATATATCTTTGGAACTATCAGGATTTTAGTAAAAAAAAAATCTGAAATATATAATAATGGAAGATAGTGAAGATTAACAAAAAACTGCTAAATAATAATTTCAGAAAACTGATATTATTTTACAGAGATAAATGTTCCCATGGAAAAAATAATAATTTTTCAAACTAATAGTAAACTTTAAAATTATTTTTATGCTTGGCAAACAAAGAATATGTATTACACCAATCTATTTATCTGAAAATTTATAAGAGATATTTTATCGTACTTGCAATAGACTAGGCGTGAAGAGTTGCGAAATATTTCAAGTCGTATTTACGTGTTGGAAAAACATAATTCAAACCCACACAATTTTGAACCAGGCAATGAGAAACCCTCACCTTGTTCGGTCAAGTCTTTTAAATAGAATTACAAATGAAAATTGCGATGTGTACGCCTCACCAGATATTTTAAATTATATTTTTTAGTGCTGATCTGCATACAAAAAGACTTTTTACATGAGTTTTTGTCGAAACAAGTTAAAATTTCATTAAGGTTATGATTTCGTGAAGTGTCTTGAGTCACGTAGCTCATTATGTTGTGAATTTTAAGTTTCGAAAGCAATGTAATACGATAAACAAAAAATATTTTCTTTTCAATTTCATATATTTTCTTCGTTGGATTTTTATTCATTTTCAATATATATATTTATTATGAATAAATAGTTATTTAATGTATAATACGTATAATTATTTTAGAAATTTAATTTCGAAGATGTTGAAGCCATGAGTAGACTTTCCTGCCATCTCTTGGGGTACAAGAGAAGCGCTCCTGTAGGTTTCGATTCAAAATGCAATTCAGTTACATTTCTCCTTTTATTTATGACTTGCTAACATATAGAACATTATTTGCATAAATATTTAACAATACAATTTATTAAAAGTAATATAAGTATGTTTACCAATAATTAATAAATAATAAAAGTTTGTGAATTCTAATTAAAATAAATGGTTTTACAATCCTTGTCCCTTTTATTTATATATATTTTTTGTTTTATTCGTTTACCGTTCAATTCAAACAATTTAATTTACTCCAGTTTAATTTAGTTGACTAGTATAATTACTGCTTCTAATTATTCTATTTGAATTCAGATCTAGATTTTTATTCAATTTCATTTAATTTTTCGTATGACAGTACATACTATTCTCGTATATACGAATCCTATTAATCTCAAACATATATTTTTCATATATATTTTTTTTTTTATTAAAAATAAAATATGTTTATGTATATACATGGCAATATAATATATAATAATACATTATATATTTATTGCAACAAATAATATTTATATCTGAGGATAAAAATATGGTTTAACGAATTACTAAATATCAAATAAATTTATTTGCGTACTTCATAATTTATATAAACGTGTTCAATTAAACGAACATGTTCAACAATCGAAAAAAAAATCTTGTTTATCTTCTGTTAAACATTAAACTGGTGGTTAATTTTAACAACCGATGTAATAGATTAATTGAATTACTCAGAACATCATGTACGTTCAAAAACCATAAAAGAAGATTTTGCAACTGAAATAGGTTTGGTTCTTCTTCTATAACGATCCTCCTCCTACCATGTATGCAACAAATGGCGAGGTAGAGGCCTATCAAAAAAAAAAAAAAAAAAAAAAAAAAAAAAAAAAAAAAAAAAAAAAAATATATATATATATATATATATTATATATATATATATATATATATATATATATATATATATATATATAGAAAATAGTTACATAATATTTTATCATTGTATAAAAAGTATTTATGAGGTATAAACATTTAATTCCATGGTTTTTACAATTATCATATTATATATGATTATAGCTGTTCACGTGAGATGTGCAATTTTTATATACAGATTATCATAAATTATTTCCAATGGCTTTAATATTATAAAGTGTATTATTCAGCTGCCCAATGTTGCCCTGATGATGCCTAAATTAGCAAAAATGTTGACCTCTTTGCTATTATCAGCGATTTGGAAGACTAAATGTTTTAGTTTTCTGGTTTCTTATAATGGTGAATGAATCATATATTTTTTATCATCATGGAGTTCTCTAATTATACATAATGAGGTTTCCAAGATAAATATTGTGGTGAGATCATTAAGGAAAGGCTCAAAGTCTTATATTGAAAAGGGTCCCAAAGTGGCAGCAGCTGAGACCCGGTGACAAGAAAAGGCCATCGAGTCGAGTGTTGACTGCTGCTCTCTCGACAAACACATTACACCCT